GGACTCGAGCCCCTCAGCTCCAAGCCCGCCCAGCACCCCCCAGAGGAGCCACTGGAAGGCTGGGCCGGCTCGCAGGCCCGGGGGCAGACTCGGCCTCTCCGGTTTCTGGGGCACAGACAGGATGCGCCCCGAGGGGCCGGGCCCAGCCCACTTTAGGACCGGTCGGTGGGTCGGTGCTTTCACGCTAGACCGGAACGCCAGGAACGCCAGGCTCGGGGCAGCACAGCCGGGCCGGCGGCGGGTCAGGAAGGCTCATGGGCACCCACGCTGGAAGGCAGGACGCCTCCCCTACCCAGGGGGACCCAGGGCACGCGGCGGGGCTGTGAGAGGCCCCGCGCACCCCTCGGCGGGAAGCGGCAGGAGGGGTCTTCCAGGGTCACCCGGAGCCGACGAGCGGCCCCTTTCCCACGTGCGGGGCGCCCCGCACCTCCAGGGGCGGGGACACACAGGGGGCCCACCGGGCCCCCTCTCAGCGAGCAGGGCTCCAGGGGACCCTCCCGGAGGACGCGGCGCCCAGGGCTGTGGGCGCACTGCGGGGCACCGAGGCGGCCTGGATCCAGGGCCCGGGAAGGGGGGGCTCGGGGTGCTCAGTGCCAGCAGCAGCAGACTAACCCCAGCCACTTCCCCTAAGGACGTGGTGCACCCCAAATGCGACCTTCAGCACCCACAACAGGGTTGAGCTGCTCACGTGCTGATCAAACGCACTCTGTGGACAAATCTGTCTGCAGTGTAGGTGGGGGCGCCCCTTGGGGGTTACCGCCCTGAAGCGCCCCCAGAGGCAGAGCTGGCCGTGCGGCCTGGGTGCGTGGCAGTGGCTGGGGAGGGCCGGGCAAGGAGCCGGGCCACGGCGCCTCGTAGGGCAGACTTACTCCACTGCGAGCCAAGAGCCGCGTGGGCTGCGGCGGCCGGGCCGCCCCTGGCCGCGGGCACCGGGACAGACCTGCCCAGGCGGCTGCCCGATGCCGGCGGCCCGGGCTGCCACCCACAAGCTGCGGGGCCGGGCCTGAC